GCAGGCTGGAGGGGTAACGTGGTTTGGTCTGACTCTCTAGGCAGGCACTGATGTGGCTCAGGCTTATCTAACAGAGCCTCCTAAATCCAACAGAAGCAGAGATTTATTTTCTGCAAAGGAAGGTCTTTGTTTTTCTGAGTGGGTAGCCAGGTAGACCATGAGTCCCTCTCCGCTCTCCTCACCCCACCTGGAAGCCCTGTTTAGACACTTCCCGGCTGCTGCCTTACCTGATTGTGTGCACGCTGCGTGCATGCTTCCTGGGTTTCCCCCATTCCCAAATGACCAGCTGAGACTTGGTTCTGTGCCCTCCTGGCCTCCAACTGCACTAGGAAGTGTTCTTCTCAATCAAACGTCTCTCCTGGGCCTTATCATGCCACATTAGACTTCCCCCAAACAAAAGGCACTCTAACCAACTTTCATGGAAACATTTTCTTTCTAACACTAAACGTTCCAAATCATAGCAAACAACAGCCTCTAAAAATAATGTTATACTAACATCACTACCAATGCTCCCCTTGATCATTAGGGTGTCACTTGATTTTGTTTTTCATTTTTTTCATGGGCAGTCAGCATGGACATGAGCTTCTGAAAAGAGTTCTTCCCATGAGCAATCAGGGCTGCATCTGGCCTTAAAGAACGAATGCTTGGAGCTCTCCCTCTTTCTCTCTAAAGTCAAACAGTGATGAACAACTTTGGACACTGAGGTTCACCACAAGTCATCCTGGTTGCTTAAAGGAAAGACGTGGGCAGAGCTGTCCCAGCTGGCTGGTCTGCTCCATGTCACTGATTGTCATAACCAACAACAGCTGGAAACATGACCCTCTAAAGTGAAAGGTCTACCACAGATACCCTCTTCTGCTCAAGACCATCGCTTTCTCGTGGTCACTGCAGGCTCAAGAAGGCACAAAACCAGCCTCATTTTCAGCTGGGTTTCTCAAGCTACCACAACAAGATAGGGAGACAGCTGCTTTCCAAAGCTCGCACAAGGCGAACCAAAAGATGGGGGTAGCTGCCTTTCATGGGCAAGAAGGCATCTAAGGTCATGCTGTTGTGTTAGTCGTTCAGTCGTCTCCAACTCTCTGTGACCCGTGGACTGCAGCAAGCCAGGCTTCCCTGTCCCTCACCATCTCCCGGAGCTTGCTCAAACTCATGTCCACTGAATCAATGATGTCATCCAACCATCCCATCCTCTGTTGCCCACTTCTCCTCCTGCCTTCAATCTTTCCCACCATCAGTGTCTTTTCCAATGAGTCAGCTCTTCACATCAGGCTCATTAAAAAGCCCCAAAGCTGCTATCAATCAGAACAGCGGCTGACAGACCCAGCTCGTCCTCCAGGCAGGAACACAGGACAGCCTCTTCCCAGGCTGCCCCCGACGACTGCCATCAGGAAATGCAGATCCTTCACTTTCTGTCTAAAGCCATGGCCAGAGTCTTTTCTGCCTACCTCTTTACCAGGGCAGATCACCAGAAAACTGCCAGTCTCCAGGACAGCACTTGAGTTTCCTAGGGAACCCCTCTGAGGACACACTGGCTTCCCTCAGGGAGCTGTACCATGCCATTTTTGCCCTTTCTGCATTGGCTGCTGGCAAGCTGAAGGTACCTCAGATTTTTGCACATATAGCAAGCTCTCTTCTTTATAACATATATTTCTATAATCTGAATTCTTATTTTAATGGCCCTGTTGCATGGGTATATTATCATATGTGTGTGTGTACATGCTAAGCTGCTTCAGTCCTGTCCGACTCTTTGTGACCCCACAGACTGTAGCCCACCAGGCTCCTCTGTCCATGGGGATTCTCTGGGCAAGAATACTGGAGTGGGTTGCCATGCCCTCCTCCAGGGGATCTTCCAGACCCAGGGATCAAACCCAAGTCTCCTACATTCCAGGTGGATTCTTCACCACTGAGCCACCTGGGAAGTCCATGTTATCATATAAGTGATCCCAAATCATTTTAGGCAGAAACTAGAAATTGCCTTTAAAGTACCATTAAGTTTCCTAATCTATAGAGTAAAAGCTAGTAAAACTGCCTCATAGGATGGATTCAGTAACACAGTGAATACACAGCATCTAACAGTACCTGGTACACAGTAGGTGCTCTATGAGATCTGATGTGATTTAAACATCATCACTTCATTTTTAATTTATGTCCAAAGCAGCATTATTGATGTTACCAAGTCAAAAATTTTTCATTTAATTTACAATTTAGAACTTATTTTATTGCAAATTGGATTGGAGCCAGTTCAAGGCACCAAATGAATTATTTTTGAACTACAATAACTGAAATAAAACCATGCATACAAAAGAGAGAGGGAGAAAACTACCAGCACTACAGTGAGTTAAATATTAAAACTGAGCCTTACATTTAACTTTGTGTTTTTTGAAATCCAAAGCAGAAATGAAATCACGTTAACTTATCTGATGCTCATCATCTGATAAATGGCCTGTGCAGCTCCTATGGAAAGTGACTTTTCTCCTAACACTGGCATCTGAGGGTAAGTGTTCACCCTGCTCCTCACAGGAGGTATCCTGGGTACGGAGCAGAAGGGCCACATCCATGCATGCCTGCACGCAAAGGCACACACATTCATCTTTCAGAAGAGATGCTTTGCTTTTCAGTATTAAATGGTTAGGGCCTGGTGGGTGAGCTCTCTGGAGATTTCCCATGGGTACACAGAGGGGTGTTCTTTATTGTTTTCTAAAACTCTCACCAAGAAATTTTGTTCGAGAGCACGGACCAGTGGATCAGATCACTGAGAATACCACCCATCCTATGTCAGTTTACACACATTTTAAAAAAACATGGAGTTAGATTATTCCTTTTCATCCCAAAGAACGGACCAGTTTCCAGGTTCGCATCTGTACAACAGCCTGTCCAGCGGCTTTCCCGAGAGTGCAGACTGGCCTCCACCTTCCCACTCCACACAGCCTCCCCGACCCCTCTGAGCCGGATGACCAGAGGGGTCTGTGACAGGGAGACCGACTTCATCCACGGAGGATCTGCTTCTCAACGCTTGTGAATAATCAGAGATAACAGACTTCTCTGCGAAAACCATGATCGCCCAACCAGGGGCAGGACCAAATGCTAGCAGGATTTATTGGCTTTGATGAACAAAAAGGTGTTTGTTTTTGCTGGTAATTAGAGTTCAGTAGCAAGCTATAAAGAGTTCTCTGAGAATTCTAAACAGACTGTAGCTAAAGGCTACTGGATTATGACTAAATCTAATCATTCATCTGCAGACCTCCCGAGTTAAGATGCCAGTATTTGATAAAGCACAACCACACAGACCACCAGAGAGGAATGTTCTTAATGTCTAAGGAGAAAAGGCGGCCCGCGTGTGCTCACGTGTGGGGGTAACTGCTGCCATGGGATGCAGCAGTTCTCATAAATATATCTCTTCAAAGGTCCACACACCCTGCGTGTTGGGCAATGTTTCGACAACTCTGCACTCTCACAACTGTCAGAGAGTGGGTTCCCAGGTCCTACGAAAGGCTGGGTGGGGCATTTGACAGAGAGAAGTGGTTTGCAAAGCCATACGCATTTGCACTTTTCTTTCAGCACTCACTGTTGAATGTGGGGCTTTTTGTGTTTTTTTTTTCTTAACAAATCTGAGATATGAATACAAATTTGACTACAATTAATTTAAAAAGTTATTTTCTAGTAGTACAGGCAAAAGAGGACAAGCAAAGTGCTGTCACCAATATTTTAAAATACTGTCAATTGAGGTTTGACAGAAAACAACAAAATTCTGTAAAGCAATTATCCTTCAATAAAAAATAAATTAAAAAAATACTGTCAAGATGAAATAAATGTGTGCTTAGAGATAACTGCTCATCTTGCTTGTCTTGGCCAATAACTTGTTATTTTCTCCTTAATCCCAGAAAATACGCCTAAGATTATTTTCATTTACTCTACTCACATTATGATAACCAAGAGGAACAGAAAAGTCAACAACAAACTCACCCACAAGAGTGAAAAAAATTAAAACGAGACCAGATATACAAAACAAGGTAAAAAAAAAAATCAAGCCCCAGATATGGCTAAGACGAGGGGACAACAACTGCTTTTGTAGTCCTTACCCATTGCCTCTACTCTTGAGAAGTTTAAGTTCACATTTAGGATTCCAGGCATCTTACTATCTAGGGCACTAGGAAAACTTGACAATATATATATTTTCCCCAAGAACTAGATTTCCATTTAATTTTGTTCTCTTCAGTCCAATATAAATTTTCCCATTGTTTTGCATGTTTTGGCCTCCTCAATTTATTTATTTAAAGTTTTTAAGCAGTCATCTCACAATGTTTCCTTCAGAGAAACATAAAACAGACAGCTACTCCAGGAGGAAGAACAAGCCCTTGGGCCACAGGTTGCGAGTCAGCTGGCCTCCTGCCCCGAGGCTCCCTGCAAGTGATCTCAGCCTGGGCCAGCCTCTCAATCCCCGCCCTGCTGTCTCCTCATCTGAAACACCAGCAGGCAGCCTCAGATTCTGTCCACACTGTCTTTGGGCTCTAGGGTTCTGTGGTTCTTTCTTCCTCAAGGGGAGAATTGCCAATGGACAAAGGGCGTAACTGATGATTCTTTAAGATACTGACGATCTACTTTCAGAAAGTTGGACTTTGTTTGAAACTGGCTAAAAAAAAAAAAAAAATTCAACTGCACGAAGATAATCCCACTATCTGAATATATTTAGAGTGAATCAAAATCGTACTGATCTGGGAAAGGGGATGCAACTCACGACAACACTAAGACCTCTTCCTTTTACAGCGTGTGCTTCAAGAACAGACCAACCTCAAATGAGCATTTCTACTCTCAGAGACAGTCTGTTCAGTGATCTCCTGGATTCCCTGAAGGGCTGGGACTCGGGCTTGCCTAGGTCCCTACTCAAGAGGAAGCAAAGGCGCCCAGTAGCACTGTTTTGGAACTTCCAGAATCTGAGTGAAAATAATATGTATTCAGAAAAGCATTTAAAGAGGCAGAACAATCCAGAGTCTGATACTTACTTGTGGCCCAGCTCATGAGCGATGGTAAAGGCCAAATTGAGGCCATTGTCTTCGGCAAGCACACATTTCCTCTTAGCACTGCACACACCTCCTAAGTAAGCAATTCCTGCAGCAGAGACACAAAACACATCCTCTTCAGAACATGCGAGGTCCTGACCTCGCAGGGCAAATCCACACGGTCAACATCACACACCATCGAGAGGGGCAAGCGGGGGCGAGGATGACCATGGGACTGGGCCTGTCTCTCCAGAGCTCATGGAGACTGGCTGGTCGGTGTGGGATGCTTCTGTATTTGTCTCATGATAATAATAACCACCACAAGCATCTCTCGAGCATTTAACACGTTATCAGGCTGAGCAGCTGGCACATCTTTTCTAACAAAGTCCTCATTAGCCAGGATGGAGGCAACAGGGAAACTGCAGTTCAGAGAGGAAAGGTAACTTTCCCAAGGTCCCCTGGACTGGCACGTGGAGCTGGAGGCTGAGACAGCCAACATCAGCATCCAGGGCCAGGGTCAGGCGAGGCCAGCAAGGCGAGATGCCCAGCGTGCAAGGTTCAAGGACAGGACCCTGAGGGGGTGAGCAGGCCCCTTTAGACTCTGTGCCCCGGGCCTCCACGTCCCTAGCCCCAGGCCCAGCCCCTCCAGGGTTAACGCTCTCAGAGGGTGAGCCAGACCAGGGCCAGGGCTCACTCAGAGCAGGCCAAGGACAGTGGGAAGGTTCAGGAAAATGTCTCAGGAGCCCCTCGAAGGAAGAGACCGGGTCCTGGGAGGAGTGAAAGACACCAGAAGAGTAAGGGCCGGGAGGCCATCTGGGAAGACAGATCCCGTGGTCTGATGGCTCATCCCGCACACACGTGAGGAACCCCAGGACCTGCCCTGAGATGGGAAGACTGCGGCAGCGTGACTAGGGTAACTAGACTCAGGAGGACACTGTGAGTAAGGGGCTGAGGACAGAGGATGGGAGGGGGCAGCCTGTGGGGAGATGGGGTGAGGACAGAGGATGGGAGGGGGTCGGCCTGTGGGGAGATGGGGTGAGGACAGAGGATGGGAGGGGGCGGCCTGTGGGGAGATGGGGTGAGGACAGAGGATGGGAGGGGGTCGGCCTGTGGTGGGTGATGGGGTGAGGACAGAGGATGGAGGGGGCGGCCTGCGGGGGAGATGGGGTGAGGACAGAGGATGGAGGGGGCGGCCTGTGGGGGCGATGGGGGTGTTCCAGGGGAGCAAAGCTGTTCTGCAACAGAGGCCCAGGAAAAGGAGAGGGCCTTGGATGGACTGGGCACCGCTGTAGGTCACGGCATCAGCCGTGCATGGCTGCTCGTCTCCGGGGTGACACCATCTGTGGTGGCTCTGCACACTCCTTCGCAGCTCTGAACCTCGGAAGGGCATCCCTGTGGTCCCGTCCCAGGACCCTCAGCACGGGGCCTGGGACAGGACTTGAGTGCTGGTGGCGGCTGACTCCCCACTGTATCCTGTGACACGAATGAGGGGCTGGGGGCTTGGGGTGGGTCGGCGGGTCACAGGCCTGGGCAGGCCCGGTGTGGCCCTCGCTGTGGGCTCACAGGGGTGTGGAGCGGGCAGTGGCTGCAGCCAGGCGTGCACGGGCCGGTGGTACTGGTGACCAGGGCCTCTGCCCGCCAGCCCGCCCCTGGGAAGGGCTGTGGCCACACGTGGCTCCCTCAAAGTGCTCAAGGAGTCTTGGGAGTGAAGGGCGGCCCTGCAGGCACAGGGGCCAGGGTGGGAAGGAGCCGGCAGAGACAGTAAGTAGGGGGATTTAGTAATTAAAAATGAACCTCCCTCCCCACTCCTGAAGAACTAAACCTACATCCTGTTTGTTGACATCAAGACTAAGCCGGGGCAGATCTCCGGCACACACAGGGCCCCATCACGACCCCCGTGAGGGGCAGACCAGCTCAGCACAGGAGCCAGGCACCAGAGCACACACCTGCTTTTATTTGGAAACATGCTTGGCCAGGGTTGAAGTTTTTGTTTTGTTTTCCATAAGAAAAGAAAAGAAAGGAAATGCTCTTTGGCCTCAAGATGTGTTTTCTGCATGCGGGCATCTTAATGCAGACTACGGGAAGGAAGAAAATGACAACCAGAAAGGACACGATCTGCCTTTGCGGTGCCTTCAAGGTCATTACTCTGGTTTTGTTTTAAAAATGCTTTGTGGGCTGCTGCAAAAAGTCCGGCAGTGAGCGGGGAGGAAAGCTTCCACACAGCACTGACGGCATCCGCATGCCACACACACGCACACACTCAAACATATTCCTGGTCTGCCCAGCCTCCCGGGTCAGTGAATCAATCGGAAACAATCAGACTTGCTCGCCCCAAGGAGTCGTCTGGTGAAGGGGAAAGACAGACATCCAGGGCCAGCTGTGCTGAGCTTGCTGTCCTGGGACCGCCCGCTGAACCAGCAGACTTCAAATACCACAGAAGTATGCCCCGGCCCTGCCTGCACTCAGCACCAGAATGGGGCATTGTGAACTTCCACTCTGGGCAACACACAAGGCTGGGGAACAACTAAGGGGAAGGCCTCTCAATAATTGCATTTTAGTTTGTCCAAGGTGCAAATGACTTTTTTTTAAAACTAGAAAATGAAGCCTTGGTTTATAAGAGATGCTCCCAGACAATGGTGGATTAAGGTCTAGTGTTTTTAGTGATTTATTCCAATTGTGAACTGCCTGGTCATAAAACCAAGCAAGGCAAAACACCTCAACAAAAACAGCCCAAAAATGGAGCACTGGAACTTGCAAGTTTATAAGCAATGCCGGGGGAAATGCTTAGAACTCGAAAACCAAAGCCTGGAGAGAAGCCCAGGTTGCTGTAAAAGCGCTGTAGGGAACAGATGGTAATTAAGCTGGGAGCTGCGGGGTAAACACAGCCCCCCACTGTTCCATGTTTCCTGGGAACAGCAGTGCAGACAGTAGGCTGTGATGGAGACACGGAGACACCCTGTTACCTCCACAAAGGCACCAGCTTGAAAACCCCACTGGATCCCACCTCAGCACTTGTCAAGAAACGAGGGAAACCCAGTATTCTCAGCATTGATTTTGTTTTTTAAACTAAAAAATGAAGTCTGTAAACATAAGTTTTGCTAATGCCCATGCTGAAACTGTGGAAGCAGAGGGACCTTCTTGTGGAACTGGAATTCCCCACAGACAGCAAGGATTTCTCAGACCCCAGAGTGGTGCTTTCAATGGTTTCGGCCTTCCACGATTTAAAATTCTCCACCAGAGAAATCAGAGTCGAACTTAGTTTTGAAATCTTAAAAAACATCAATTCCACATGTTTGCAGAGCTCCTTGGCACAAAAGCGAAGCAGAAAGGCAACTGGCATTTATTAGGGTTCTCCTCACAGGCTAGTTCAGCTCTGCATGCATGGTCCTCCCTTATTTGGAAGGTGTTACTGGCCCCACTTTACAGGCAGGGAAGTGAAGGTTCAGCATCCAATTACGTGGCTGGTCAGGGCTCAGACTTGGGTACAAATGCAGGGCTCTCTTTCTCCAGCACCCACAACACCCCCCCCCAGGCAAACCCTGGGCACCCCACACCAAAGTTTTGAAAACCAGCAACAACGATAAGCTTGAAGGATTTAAAAGATTTTCATAAATCTTAATGTGCACTTATGCTGAAATGTGGGTGGGATACAGAAAAGGTTTCACATGTTCAAGTCTAAATTCTTTAATCCTAAAGATGAAAAGACTTGAGGGATATATGCGGTCATATTAACAGTAGTAGAGTTACCTCTAGGACATGGTTAAATCATTACAGATATTTACATTTTTTTCCTTTTGGCTTAAACCTAGTACAATGAATATGTACTCACTATGAAAATTAAAGGTATTGGTTATATTTCATTTATTCAAGGTGACATACAACAGGCAGAGGTGACAAAACAAGAAAAACTATACAGATTTTGATTCTGAGTGTACAGCCCTGAAGGCAGTAGATATGAAGGAAGTTTACAGTCAACACATAATTTAGTGTGTGCTTGTATCCTAAGGGCAACTCACTCCATTTCTATGAAAGCCTTGGCACAGATTAGGAAAAGCAACATACATTTTGGAAAGTCTGAAATCCTGGAGTTACAGATGAAGGGCTGTAAAGTGTTTTTCTGATGCCTGGAGAAGTGTATCTCGTTCATCACAAAGCAGATCACATCGACAAGAGCCTCCCAACCCAGTTTCTCAGGCAAATCAACTCAGTGTGGACACACTCTTTTCCATTCCTTTTCTTGGTAGGAGCACAAGCTTGAGGAGCAAATTGGGTGAGATGGTTTAATTTCTTTTTCAGTGGAAAACTGTGTGGTGTAAGCACATAATTCTTAGACTTAGAGTTGACCATATGATCTTTTCTAGATTTAAAGAGTAAACAACACCCAATTGTATAAACTCTGGTTTATCCAGCAAATTGTCTCTGTAAACAGTTTACAGCTGCTGGCCCTGTTGCCCATTACTCAGACCTTCTTGGGCTCTGCCTCTAAGAGAGATGGTCAACTTTCTCCCAACAGCCGCTCCAGGAATCAACACCATCATGATTATCCCTGGCATACCACGCTGCCAATTATGAGGTCGCAATTTACATCTATTCTCTCGGCAATCACAGCAGTAGAGATTGAGTTTCATGCTCAGGCTTGTCAACAGGTCCTTGTGCTCTTGGAAACTCACTAAGTGGTTGGAGGTATGATGTTAATTTGTGAACGGCATTAGGAACAAATGTCTTAGAACCCAGGATGTGACCGATGAAAAGTAACTATGGTCTATTCTTATTACTCATGGTACTTGGATTCTAAAGGGAAGCTCTGAACCCTGAATTCTGGAATAGAGAACAACTGGTCCTAGGGGAAATACAGGGTTTGGTTCCTGTGAGCCTCTGATCACATTTTGTCAACTGACACATAACTTTGTTTTATGTGTGTTTCTGCTTAAAGACACCTATTCAATACGTATCATTGATTCATCAACACTGAACTCAGTGCCAGCAGTCTGTAACTCAAGGCTGAATGAAGTTCATCTAGTGTTTTCCTTGCAAGGCATGTGGCAACCTGGAGCTTTGAAACACTAATCAGC